TTTTTTTTTATTTATCTATATATATATATATATATGTGTATATCTATCTCTCTCTCTCTATATATATATATATATATATATATATATATATATATATATATATATATATATATATATATATATATATATATATATATATATATATATATAATCATGTTATTACAATAACAGGGTGAGTTCTCATTATGGAAACAGAATGGGGTTTTCAAACATCTTTAAAGATTTAAACAATTCAAGAACTTATAAACTTATAAATTAACTTTTGAAACCAAGTACCAGAAAAAAAGCCAACACACGTCTTTACTTCAAACCTCAAATTTGACTCACTGAGATTTCATTTACAACTGAGACAACTTACTTGCTGAAGTTGCTGAATAATTCGTTTGAAAAGTACAATTATTTTAACACAATCTCACGCACGACAAGCTACATTTATAATTGAGGTAAAGTTAGTTTTATATTCGCATATTCATCCAGTGACAACTTGTGACATGCTCCTCAAGTTGTTTACTATGGTACTTTGATTATTCGATCTGAAATCACGAGTAAACATGACAACATAGCCCTATTTATTTGAGCGTGAACAATCTTGAAGACTACTTCGAGTCATCGGCTGCTAATATGATTCCACCGTGTAGAATTTGCAAAGAACACTTCTCTGAAATTATATTATTAACGAGAACGAGTGTGTAACCATAAAACTAACTCAACACATTTCTAAACAAACCTACCTGCGTGCACGCGCGTTGCTGCAACGCGTCGGATACAGTGAGACTTTGCGCTTGCCAAGACAAAATGATAAAACAGTGTAGTGTACTTACCACGTAGCTAGTTGGAAAGAAGATATCTTCATTAAAACCGCGAAGTAAAGCGACTGGCCGCGAGAGGTTTCGGTTTGGCGGATTTCACAGACTGGTCTCTGCAGATTTCAACTTCCTGATCTGTCTGTCTGCGTCCCAGTGCGCGCGCGCTTCACTTTAAACCTCACCGGGACTTTCCACACACTCCTGCTGTTTTAGACAATTATATTGTATATCCTACACATAAACCTCATAAATCTCGCTCTCACACACAAGAGGTTCTATAGACATTATTAAATAACTTTTGTTTTTCCGTGATTTGTATACAGTGTGACACATACACTCATCTCTG